CTGCATCTCAAGCGCCATGGGCTACTTACAGTTGGCATGTTCCTGACAATACTTGGAAACAGTGTTTGAGGGTGTTTCTGTTGGCTCTGCTGCTTTGGCGCTTGCTGGACATTCATGTTCTGTTGCGGCTGGATGGACTGCAGTGGCTGGTGGCTGTTTTTTGGCTGGGGCTGTCCAGCAGTCTGATCATTTATGTCTGGCAGAGGCATAGATTCTAAATCAATTAAAGGTGGCTTCGATTCTAGTGGTTGCACCTGCTTATGCAAAGGCTGTTTCGATTCCAGATGATGTGAGGGAGGGCCTAATACCTGTCCAACTTGAAAATACGGGTGTTTCAATGCCTATAAAAAACATGGAAATAACAAATGGAAAATGGTTTCACCTAAATTTATTGCATATAAACTGCTGTTTGACATTGGGCTAGGCATATATTACTAGCCTAGATAAGTTTAAAAAATTTAGAGAGCATCCAATTTCTCCCGTGTGGTGACTTTAAAAAGATAACCAGAAAAAATGATGTGAGAAATAAATTTCTCAAGAGAAATAAAGCAAAAGTTAGTAGAAAGAATGTAAAACTCACTTGTAATTTTAACATCAAGGCAAAGCAACTATTCTATTTAAGATTTTATATGAAAACAAAATCTACTTATAAGCACTGGTTAAATTTAATGTGATCAATTCAAACTAAAATGCTAGATACTGATAATGGTTTGGAGTCCATCCAAAGGCACTAAGAAATGAGTTAGAAAACCCTTGTAGATTATTTAAAATGATTAACTCAAACATATATAAAATTCAGGGCTACTCTTAGCTTAAGTATCCTATCCTATATAATAAAAGGGTAATATGCAAATAGACCGAATGGCAGAACTGAACAACTAATCAAAGTGTAATATGCTAATGATATGCTAAGGCTGCTCAATTGCTCACTATGATGTGCACTGACCACCAGGGGGCAGATGCTCTGACTGGTAGGTTAGCTTGCTGCTGGGGTCCAGCTGATCAGGACTTAGCGAGATGGGCCGAATATGCCCTGGAGCCCTCCCGCAGCCCGTCTCTGGCCCCATCGTGCACAGGTGGGATCCCTTACCCTGGCCTGCACCCTCTTGCAATCTGTGACCCCTCAGGGGATGTAGGAGAGCTGGTTTCAGCCCGATCCCACAGGCCACTCCCCTTGGGAGGGCACCAGATGCAGGGCTCATGGCTGGCAATCACTGCTGTGGCAGCGCGAGCCTCTCCCGGATTGGGACTGATTGGGCGTGAGCCCACAGCAGGCACAATGGGGCCGGATGAGCGGGAGCAGAAGGTAGGAGCTGCAGGCAGCGTTGGACTGCAGGTTTTGGCCCGATCCCTGCAGGCCACCCAGAGGGACCCCACCCGTGCATGAATTCATGCACCGGGCCTCTAGTAACAACATCTACTAGCAATAAAAAATTCTAAGAAAGAAGATTATAAATGCACACGTTAAAGCTTATGTATCAATACACTGGCAAAGAGATGATATTTATGGGAAGAAAATATAAAACTACTAATGAAAATGATCACTGTTTGGGTTTTCACTAGTTCAATCATCCAACTGCTGCTATTGCATGGGGTTGGAGGTGTGGGGCCTGGTGACAATCTAGAGCAGTGCTTCTCACCTGGGGGTGATTTTGCCCCTCGGGAGACATTTGGCAATGTCTGGAGACATTTTTTATTGTCATGATATGGGGGGTAGATGCTACTCGCATCTGGGCATGCTGCCAGGAATGCACTTAACATCCTGTTGTGAACACAACAGTCCCCACAGCAAAGTTATCTGGTCCGAACGGTCAGTGCCAAGGTTGATGAAGCTTGGTCTAGACCAGCGGTTGCCAACCGGTGGTCCGCAGTCCACTGGTGGTCCATGAGGTCTGAGAGGTTGGCGACCGCTGGTCTAGACAATGTCTGAAGCCTTCTGTGCAGCTCAGCTGTGGATGCTGATCCTCCTATCAGTGTCATATGCCTGGATGAAGGAGGGAAGTTCCCAGTTCGGCTGAGTTTCTATTGGGGGACAAAGGGGGGCCTCCATAAGATAGCCAAGCTGTTTTCCCACACTTCCTACCCTATGTGAGCAAAACCCTAACCCAGAGTTAACTTCTCAGGTGTGTAAGGGAAGAAGGCAGCTCTCTACATGGGCCCGGTATCCTATAACTTAACCCTTCCCTAACTAGGTCTCCTTACTTGCACTAAAAAGCAGGGCTATGAAATAGTGAACAAGAAAATGGTTAAGAGTAGGGAGGAATATTTTGGCAGGGGTGGAAAGAGTTATTAAGATGTCCCTTGCCACAACTGATGTATGTGTTAATTATACTGACATTGCTAAGTGGAACTCAACAAATATAGATTATTTATTTATTTATTATTTTTTAAATTGATTTCAGAGAGGAAGGAAGAGGGAGAGATATAGAAGCATCAATGATGAGAGGGAATCATTGATCGGCTGCCTCCTGCACACCCCCAACTGGGGATTGAGCCCACAACCTGGGCATGTGCCCCTGACCGGAATCGAACCCGGGACCCTTCAGTCCGCAAGCTGATGCTCCATCCACTGAGCCAAACCAGCTAGGGCTAAATATAGATAATTTAAATACATCAGTATCTGATGCACAGAAGGTACTCAAATTCTGAATTAAGTCAGATTAATACAATAAACCTTTAATTTTCTAGACCTCGATTTAATGGACTTTGAATTTAACAGACTAAATTTCCAGTCCGTATGCCATATGTGCAAATTAATACCCTGTTAATTTTAAAATGCTTGTAACCAAGATTTGCTTATAATTAAATTAACAGGTTATTTTTTGTTATTAATTCAGTTATTTTTAACAATTTTATAGGCCATATGTTGGAAAAACACTATAGTAATTTCACCAACATAAATAAATATTACATATCTACAATTTCATTTCACATATTTAAATCCAAGAATCACCCCTCATAAAAATGTTCCGAGAATGATTAGCATGTGATCACAAAGCATCATGAGCGGACATTGGTTCTGTTGTCACATGGTCTTTCTGCAGCAGTTGTAACTCTCTCAGGCTGATGTTCCCATGTGCTATAAGCCACACCCCAGGCCCTAGCCATGTGCGTTTGTTTACTCTGTGACTGGTGGCTGCATGAATTTATAGACCTATTCAGTATAAATTTAAAATTACTGTAATACACATAGAAAATTTTTCTGTGAAATTAAAACTTTTCATACATACTTAAATTTAATTACACGAATGCATCTACATAAGTAAAAACAGGTTAACTAATTTGTCAATTTTTTAACATATGCATTTGGAAAACCTACTTTATTACTAGAGGCCCGATGCACAAAATTTGTACATGGGTGGGGTCCCTAGGCCTGGCCAGAGATCAGGGCCTATCGGGGGCGGTCTCACCCAGTCCCATTGGGTGGGGCTGCTGGGGCTGCTGGCCGGGGCCTGGAGGCCTGCCAGCTGCCAGACAGGGCCTGCTGGATGGGGCAGGGGGAGGGATAGGGGAGGTTGGCTGGTTGTGGGAGCACACTGACCACCAGGGGCAGCTAGCGCTTGCATTGAGCATCTGCCCCCTGGTGGTCAGTGTATGTCATAGCGAGCGGTTGAGCATCCTTAGCATATCATTAGCATATTATGCTTTGATTGATTGAACGGATGACCAGACGACCAGACACTTAGCATATCAGGTTTTTATTATATAGGATGGACTTTCAGCTTTAATATACACCCCCTTGCCTGAATTAGTTCCTTATATTGAGGTTTTACTGTATGTTAATAGTCCTAAATTAATAATGCATATTTTGGAGCTAGAACCTTTATGAATGTGTTTTGTAATTTCAAAGCTTCATCTTTAACAACTTTTCATCTTTAAGATACCAGCTACCCTTCTTCAAGAGAATCTTTTTCAAAAGTAATTTCTTTTTTCCTGTTTATTTAGTGAATATTTGACCATTGCAGTGTATAAAAAAATGTACAGAAAGTTCTCAAGAAGAAATTAAAATCATCTCTAATGCCAACACCAAGAGAAAACTACTGCGCACATTTGGATGTTTTTCTGAGCAGTATTTTTTCTAGTTATATAACATATACATTTAAGAAATAAAATCATATTACACATATAATATAGCTTACTTTTACACTTAGCACTTGAGAATTCTCTGAAATGGTTCCTTTCTTTTAAAAATTTCATTTTTAATGGTGGCATTATAGTTCATAAGGATGTATATACTTTGAATGTTCTCCTGGAAACATTTAGGTTTATACTTCCAATGGGTAGTTTTAAATTAGCTTTGAATATCTATGGGCATATTCTTTACCCAACTTTCTGATTGTTTTTTAAGGTTCTTTATATACACTGCAAAATTGCTTTCCATTAGTCATTAGTATTTAAAGAAATAGCCTTTAAACTATTTTTATATTTTGTGAATTTGATAGGTAAAAAATAGTACTTAATTTTCATTTGCATTTTATGGTAGTGAACAAGGGTTGCACATTAAAATTCTTTTTTGTAATTTAAATTTCATTTTCTGTGATTTTTTTTCATGTCTCATGCCCACTTTGTGTTTTTTTTTCTTCTTAAACATACTTTTATTGATTTCAAAGAGGAAGGGAGAAAGAGAGAGAGATACAAACATCAGTAATGAGAATCATCAATCATCTGCCTTCTACAAGTCCCCTACTGGGGATAGAGCCCACAGCCTGGGCATGTGCCCTGATCAGGAATTGAACCGATGACCTCTTGGTTCCTGGGTCAGTTGATGCTCAACTGCTGAGCCACACTCAGCAGGGCCCCACTTTTCTTTTATAAGTAAATTTTAAAGACTTTTATTATAAAAGTAATAAATATTTAAAAACATAAGTACACTGTCATGTTTGTTAAAAATAATAGTTTGCCTTTCAATTTTAAGTTTATATAAGAAACATTTTTATAATCACGTCTTCTGAGTTTTCCCTTTGTTTTATTATTTTTATACCTATATTTTTCTTATCTTGAAATCAAATATTCACCCATACTTTTAGTTCTTAATAGTTCAGTTACCCCCCTCCATTATGTAAACCTGTGATTTACTTGTAATGAATGATAAAAAAGTAAACCTAAATTTACTTTTCCCCTAAGAGTTAACTGTTTATTGTCTCAGGAACATTCACTCAACAGTCCCCCTCCCCACTCCAATTTGTGATGCCATGTTTGCCTTACACTGACTTACGGTCTTAGCAACTCTGAGCTATTTGTCAATTCTCATGCTAGTACCCTCACTGTTGTCATTATCATCACTTTAGACTGACTACTTTATATTTGATAGGGCAAGCTCTCCACCCCTACCACCAGCTTCTAATTATTTATTTTTGTTCAAACCTGTTTTGACTGTTCTTTCCCATTTGTTCTTCCAGATGACCTTTACAAAACATTTTCTCAAGTTAAAACTTGTTTAAAAGCCAAATAATGTTTTGGTAATTTTAATACTGAATTTACATTTAAATGATAATAAGAACACAATAATCTTAATATGACATTTTAACCTAAGCCTTTTAAAATTAAAGCCCATGTTTTTAATTTAAAACCATGGTGTTTTAAAGACCATGAGACTTGACATACAATACAATAAGGTGTAGTCACAAAGGAGCCAAGCGTGAGCGTGCTGCCCTCTTGTGGGAGAACGAACAAGAATCCACCTCAAAGGTAAGCATCAGAAAGTCAATTACGTCCCATGACTGGAGAGATGCCTTTTTACTACCATGACTAGTTTCTTCCTAACTAGCCTGTCACATACATGACTTTTTTTATCTTTAGAGATTTATTCCTTTCAGCCTTAACTTCATAGTGTTGTTCATTTGAACCACAAAACACATAAAATCACTGGCTATTTCTGCAATTTTCCCAAGGATCTTAGATGCCTAGAAATTAATTCATTATATATACTGGGAGCCTTAAGGCTTTAGGGCTTAATTCTCTTGGTAAACCCTGGTTGAGAACAGACTTATCTTTGCTATATATATATATTCCTGATATTGTAAATCCTCAACATTTAACAAAAGTATACCAGGGAGATTCATTTTACCTGGCTTGCTGTTGGTCGTTTTTTTGGATCCCAATTCAACATTTCAGTCATAAGCTGAATAGCTTCATTACTGGCATTGGGAATAAGAGTTTTTAAGTTTATAGGAACACACTGGGGAAAACGGAAATTCATCGAGGATGCAAGCTGATACCCTTCTGGCCAGTCACTCTGTTTAAGAAATATGTAAGTTGGGGGGAGAGAAAAAAGAAATGAGCAATCAATTTAAAAACATAGTAATAACACACAAATCACATGTGAAAATTTCAATGTTGATTCATATAAATAATGTGAGAATGAAATACCAGGCCATATATACAATTCAGTGCTACAAACAGTATATTAAAAACATTGAACTGAGAGTTGGGGGAAAATGAGAAGGCACTTTTATAAATTTCAAAATACTGAACTCTTATCTAGTATTTGGATGATCATGATGATGATGACATCCCAGTGACTTTAAAGAAATAAGGACACCTGCTTTACAAGGCATCTGATTATGACAAAGATCCTCGTAATATGTTATACATTGCATCCAATGTTGACAATTGCACATCGCTGGGAAACAGCAATTATCTTAAAAAGTTTTAACAGCTACTGTTAACCATAAGGCACACACTAATTTAATTAGGCTATAATTATATATAGTTAAACTTATTAAGTATATCCCAGAAAGTAAGATCTAGCTGAAGGAAATAATTAATTGAATAGTATTCAGTTCAGCCCAGCCTGTGTGACTTAGCAGTTGAGCATCGACCCAGGAACTAAGGGATCACTAGTTCGATTCTCAGTCAGGGCACATGCCCAGGTTGCAGGCTACATCCCCCGTAGGGGGTGTGCAGGAGGCAGCCAGTCATAATGTTTCTCTCTCATCAATGTTTCTCTCTATCCCACTCCCTCTCTCTCAAAAAAATCAATAAAAATACATTTAAAAAAATTATTGAGTTCCAAGAGATCAAATGTCCATGGCAGAGGTGTATAAAAGGAAACAAGAAAAGGTTAAGAGAAAATAAGATCCAGGACACCTGGGGTAATGGGCATTCACGGAGCAAGTAGGAAAGTTTCTAAGCAAGGACGTCTATGTAATTGTCAGTTGATCATCCACCCAAAGTTAAATATACAGAATTCTACTTAGAGCATTTTCCCTTTGGTTCTTAAACAAATGCAAGCACCTTTTTTCTTCAGTCTGGTGGGATTCTTGCTTTTTATAGTCCTCATTCCACCCCAATTTAAGAAAAATTAAGAATTATAAGAAAATTAACCAGCCAAAACCGGTTTGGCTCAGTGGATAGAGCGTCGGCTTGCGGACTGAAAGGTCCCGGGTTCGATTCCGGTCAAGGGCATGTACCTGGGTTGCGGGCACATCCCCAGTAGGAGATGTGCAGGAGGCAGCTGATCGATATTTCTCTCTCATCGATGTTTCTAGCTCTCTATCTCTCTCCCTTCCTCTCTGTAAAAAATCAATAAAATATATTTTAAAAAAAGAAAAGAAAATTAACCATTAAATCCTAAGCCTACTTGAAAATGAAAATATCAGATAGCTAGGTAAAAGTTATAAATAATCAAAAGTTATAACAACTTAAAGACAAGAGTACTTACTTTTTTTGGAGTCCCTAAAACTTGGCAAATTTTAAAGATTTCATCAACCTCACTTGTCCCTGGGAAGAGTGGTCTTAATGTATATAGTTCAGCCATTATACTCCCAACAGCCCACACATCAATGGGAGAGCTATAAACTGAAGATCTTAATAAAACTTCAGGAGCACGGTACCTGTGAAAATAGAAACAAAATGAAACGGACTATTTTGATTGTGGTTTCAAAGATGGAATGGCAGCAGGATTCTACTCTGTTTGGTCAAACTTTTCAGTCACAGAACAGGCATTAAGTGCCTTCTGTGCATCAGGCACTTGCACAATGTGCTGGGGTTAAATTGGACATCACACGTTTTCCCGGGCTACAAAAATCAGTAAGGCTGGAGACTGATATACATGAATTATCCAAATAGTCTACGATAGGAACTCAAATGAATAAATATGGAAATGCAGTCTGTGATATATTAAGAAAAAGGGCCCTAACTGGTTTGGCTCAATGGATAGAGCGTCAGCCTGTGGACTCAAGGGTCCCAGGTTCGATTCCGGTCAAGGGCATGTACCTTGGTTGCAGACACATACCCAGTAGGGAGTGTGCAGGAGGCAGCTGATTGATGTTTCTCTCTCAGCGATGTTTCCAACTCTCTATCCCTCTCCCTTCCTCTCTGTAAGAAATCAATAAAATATATTTTTAAAAAAAGAAAGAAAAAGGGCTGGGAACTATGAATGGAAGAACAGATATATTCTGAATGGCTACAGTTGCATGATTTTACAAATAATTATATCCATGATATAACCCTAGGAAGAATAAAAAAACAAAAGATTAACAAGATTATTCCTGAATAGTGGGTTTTTTTCCTTTTTTTTTGCTTATCAGTTTGGAAGTCCTGATTCCCTCAGGTGACTCAATTTCCTCGACTGACAATATTTTTAATTGATAAAAATACTCTAGCTATAAGAGCAAAAGTTCCTGGTGGAGGATAGTCTCATTTCTAACTCTTTTTTCAGCATTGAAATGTGTAAATATTTCAGACCAAATGTTTTGCAGCATTGCCCTTTGCTTCCATTCAGAGTACCTTTGACAGCTTTACTGAGCTACAACTCATAGAATATACAACCCATCTGTTTAAAAGTGTGTGATTCAATGGCTTTAAATATATGCACAGATTTGTGTATCATCAGGAACAATCAATTGTTTTCATTATCCTAAAAAGAAACCCACACCTCTCCAATAGTCCCTATGCTGCCAGGACTAATTATTTTCTGTCTCTATTGATTTACCTAATGTGGACATTTCACATCAATAGAACTATATACTCTCTAGTCCTTTATGACTGGCTTCTTTCACTTAACATGTTTTCAGGGTTCATCCATATTGTAGCATGTATCAGTACTTCTTCCTTTTAAATACTGAATAATAATCTGGGTTGATGACCACGCAATACAGTGTACAGATGATGTGTTGTAGAACTGTGCACCTGAAACCAGGGTCACCCTAACAAATTCAATTTAAAAAAAGTTAATGAGGACTGTATTCTACTAAGTAAAGATATAAATAAATGCTTAATAATAAATAGTCCATTGTATGGACATATCACGTTTTGTTTATACATTCATCAGCTGTTTTGATTATTGTTGCTTCTTTGATTATCACTGCTCTGTAATATAATTTGAAGTCAGGAAGTGTGATACCTTCAGCTTTGTTCTTTTTCCCCCTCAAGGTTACGTTGGCTATTCAGGGTCTTTGGTGGTTCTATACAAGTCTGGCAATTTTTTGTTCTATTTCTTTGAAAAAATGTCATTGGGATTTTGATAGGGATTGCTTTAAATTTGCATATTGCTTTGGGTAATATGAACATTTTATATTGATTCTTTCAATCCATGAACACAAAATATCTTTCCATTTCATTGTGTCTTTTAAAAATTTATTTCAATAATGCTTTGTAGTTTCCAGCACATCCCTTACGTTTATTCCTAAGGTATTTTATTATTTTTGTTGTAGTTGCAAAAGGAATTTTAGAAATTTCTTTTCCTGAAATTCCATTGTTACTATATAGGAATGTAGTGGATTTTTGTACATTGATTTTGTATCCTGCAACTTTACTGTATTTATTTATTGTTACTAATAGTTTTTTTTTTGCTGGAGTCTTTAGGGTTTTCTATATAAAGAATTTGCCCCGCCGAAACCGGTTTGGCTCAGTGGATAGAGCATCGGCCTGCGGACTGGAGGGTCCCGGGTTCGATTCCGGTCAAGGGCATGTACCTGGGTTGCGGGCACATCCCCAGTGGGGGGTGTGCAGGAGGCAGCTGATCGATGTTTCTCTCTCATCGATGTTTCTAACTCTCTATCTCTCTCCCTTCCTCTCTGTAAAAAATCAATAATATATATTTTTTTTAAAAAAAGAATTTGACCCCAAAGGCAAGGGAATTAAAGGAAAAAATAAATGAATGGGGCTATATCAAACTAAAAAGCTTCTGCACCGCAAAGAAACCGACAACAAAATAAAAAGGCAATCAACCGAATGGGAGAAGATATTTGCAAACAAGCTCTGACAAGGGGATAATATCCAAAATATATGGAGAACTCATACAACTAAATAGTAAACAAAGAAACAATCAAATTTAAAAATGGGCAGCCCAGCTGGTATGGCTCAGTAGTTGAGCATCAACCTATGAACCAGGAAGTCATGGTTCGATTCCTGGTCAGGGCACATGCCTGAGTTGCAGGCTCAGTCCCCAGTGGGAGCATGCAGAAGGCAGCTGACCAATGATTCTCTCTCATCATTGATGTTTCTATCTCTC